GCATCCCGCAGCTCGGTAGTGGCACTGCCTGCAACTGCGCAGTGATGCTGTGCCCGGCAGGGCTATTGGGAGAGCAGTGACCTCGTTAAAGTAGCTCCCTGTGATGAGGCTGGGGTGTCCGGCTGCCCTGAGAGTGCTGCTGGCACCGGGAAATGAGACTGGAGAAAGAGGAGCCGACATGCTGGTGGCTGGGACTGAAGCATCCCATACATGGCATGAGTTGTGCCTGTTCTCTGCATCACACAGGGCTTGCACCAGGCGAGGGTGCTCGGGAGCGGAGCAACACCCTGGAGAAATGGAGCACCCCAGAAAATCTGACCGGCACAAGGAACTGGAGAACAGCTTTCGGGAAGGGGGCCAGGCTGGCAGACGCCTTCGCTGTGGTGATGGAGAGCCAGTTACTTGTTAAAAATGACAAAGGCTCAAGAAATGAGCGTTAAAATAAATAAAGTGTAGGTGAGCCGCGGCAGCTCGCCCGCGCGGGTGTCGCATAGCAACCGGAGGCACCGCCACCGCCGGCACCGCCGACACGGGCACCGGCAGCCGGGCAGGGAGTGGCTGTGGCCCAGCCACGGGCAACCGTGGGCTGCTCTGAGTCAGGGCAGCATCGCTCTGCACTGCCATGTTGTTGCCCAGCATCTGGAGGCACCAGCGCTCCCCCTGTCCCGCGGTGTTTTTAGAGCATTTTGTGGTGGGGAGAGGTCATGGCTGTGGGCCAGTGGTGGCTCAAGCCCCCATGATGGGGGTTGTCATGCAGAGAGGAGAGCATCTGCCTCATCCTGGACATTCCAAGAGCATTGCTGGGGTTCCCCTAGGCAAGTGACCATCGCTGCTCTTGGCTTCCCAACCCAAAAGTGTGTTGGCAGGCTGCCCAACAGAGATACTGGCAGACCTTGGGAAGGCCAAGCATTCCCCTACACTGCTATGGCCTTCCTATCCCATCCACTTGCTTGGAGCATCCCCCTGTGCCACTGTCCCTCCAGCAGCCACCAGTGGGGACTCTCGAGCTGATCACCCATTGTCTGGGAGAGGGTGATGCTGGTATGCTCCTCCTCTGGATGAGGACATGACTGTGGGCAGGAGCACTGAGCCCTCAGGATGCCACCGTGCATTGTCCCAGTACTGCTGTTACCACCACAAGGGTTTGGTGTTTGAGAGCTGGACAGAACTGGACCAGCCCCCTCCCCAGTGCCCAGGTAAGGCGACTCGGCTGATTTGGACGACACTGGTGGATGACACCCAGGGTCACCTGAGGGCTCTGCTGGCCTTACACACTTTGTTGCCTAATGCTGGCACATCTGGGCTGCAGCGGAGGCACGTGGCCGCTGGCAGCTGGACCATGGCGTGCAGGCTTATTTGGGGGGGGCCCTACCCTGTCCTGCCGTCCGTGCTAGTCAGGGGAGAGCCCCAGCCCCACACCCAGGTGCACACTCAGCCTCAATGGGAGAAGCCCTCAGTGCTCTGCCCCAGGGCCAGGACATGGGGTGCGTGAGCCCTGTGGGTGCTCTTTGGGGGATCCCCACATGCACACACCACCCCGTTTTCAGAACCACCATGGGCAGCCAGAACCGCTTATGGCTCTGCTCTCACTTTGCAGGACACTGACTCTCCTGCACCCAAAGGATGCCATGGCAGCCCGGATTAACGCTACCGTGACTCCCAGACCCCCCCGGCTCGGCAGCCAGCCCGGTTTGGCACACACTTAGGATGCTACTAATCCCACTCTGAATTTTAGGGTCCCTTCTCTCCCCCATGCTGAAGATTTTACGCGCGGTTGGGTCAAAGCTGCCCTGAGGGGAACAGGAGCAAAGAGCGAGGAAGCGCACGGAGACGCACGGTCAGCACTTTTATCGCCGAGAAACCGCCAGAACCGGGCACGAAACAGAGATAAGGGGAGAGCGGAGCCCCGTCCCCCCTCGCCGCCCCGATCGCACTGAGGAGCAGGGAAAGCGCCCGTTTCCTACCGGTATTTCATCCCCGGCTGCTTGACGCTGGAGTCGCTGGAGGAGGGGGCGTTCTGCACCGAGAGCTGCCCCAGGCTGCGGGCCACCATGGCCACGGCGCGGAACTTGCCGCGGGTGCCGAGGCTGGGGCTGCCGGCATTCTGTCGGTTCAGCCGGTCCTCCGCGCTCCGGCTCTTGATGCTGTGCTCGGAGCACACAAAGGAGACCTGCATGCTGCTCCGGCGGGCAGCAGCTCCAGCTGCCTAAATTTAGCCGGCGCCCCGGGCGAGGCGGGGAGCTCCTCCCGCACGCCGCCAACGTGACGGCGGGGGGCTGCGGGGCGGCGGGCGAGGAGCGCTGCCGTCAGCCCTCCTGCCCTCAATATTTGATGAGCTCAGGAAGCGAGCGAGCGGCACACGGGCAGGTGGGGGCAGGAGAGGCAGAGCCGCTGCCGGTACCCTCCGGAGCGGCCGTGGCGGAGCATCCCCCCCGCGGGTACGGCTGCTGGCCCAGCCCCGCTTCGGGGCACAGCGAGGGATGGGGATGCGGAGGGCTAGAGGCAGATTGCCCTGCACGGGTCCGAAACTAAACCCTCTGGCAGCAAGGCGTGTGCATCGCCAGCCCCACGGCTGGGCGACAGCGCGGGTGGCGGCGATGCTGAAGGCTCTCCCGCGGCAGAGCCCGGCTCTTGGCTGAAGTTGTCGCCCCAGCTGCACATTCCCCCTGTTTTTCCCAGTGCAAGCCAAGTCGAGCGAGGCGAATTCCAGCCTAGGGCACAGGTCAGCACACTACAGCACCGTCCTGCAGGCTGCCCGCACCTGCCGTGCTCCTCAGGATGGAGCAAAATGCAGTGATGGGGCTTGCAGGAAATTATGCACATTTGCCCCAAACCTAATGAAAAATCTTGTAATCTCCTCTGCTTCCCTCTCTCGCAAAGCTCCTTAGCTGGTAATCCTGCCAGCACCAGCGCCAGCTCCAGTGCAGGGGGGACCTGGCAGCAGTTGTCAGCCCCCAGAGGATGAGAAACCCCACAAATTTTGGTGGCAGCAGGGACAGGACCAAAGAAGGAGCACCTTTGGGGTGACTCTGCCAGCTGCTCCCATCAATAAATAATGCCCCCATTAATATTAGATGGGCTCTTGCCACTGTGTAAATGTTACCGCGGTCATTGTGAGCAGAGGGGAACCTGACCCGCGGCGCGGCACAGTGCAGCATGGCAGGAGCCAGCACTGTCCCCCACTGCCAGCTCCCGGGGGCTCCGCTGCAGTGGGGGACAAGGGGCACCCCTATATTGTCACTGGAGAACAGCCATTGTCCTCAGCCCTGGTGCCTCCTGGGGGGTGATTGGCCCTGCACCCCACTGCCCCACCTGCAATGCAAGGGGAGAGGTGCATTGGGCAGGGCAGCCCCATCGCTCTAAGGGGCTGTGGCCACCTCTCCAGCTGCCTGGAGTGTCCTCCTGACAAGGACACTGGCTGAAATCCTGATACACCTTGCACCAGGACCCACATGCAAAATTAATGATGCACCCGCTCTGTGATGCACACCCATCAGCCAGGGGGAGATGCACACTCGTCAGGTGGAGATGTACCCCTGTCAGATGGAGATGTACCCCTGTCAGGTGGAGAAGAACCTCTGCCAGGTGAAGATGTACCTCTCCAGTCAGGCAGAGATCTACCTGCATCAGATGGAGATTTACACCTCTGAGGCAGAAACAGCTCTTTGGAGGCTGTTTGCTCCAGGTGCCTAATCTTTAAAGCTCAGAGGCTGTCTGCATCTGCAAATGCCCAAACAGCAAACAGGAATGTCAAGTGAGAAGCTCAAAGATCACCAAATAGGAAAGTGCTAACGGCGCTGATCGACTGCCGCCTCTCCGGCGCTCGCCGTGCCAAGGGCATCGGCTCCTCGCAGCCTCGGCGCGGCACAGGGGAGCCGAGGTGAGCTTAGGTGAGAGCCGTTCTCCTGATGAGGTGTCAAACCAGCACCAAGCAGCGTCCCCTGTGTCATCCCCTCACCTCGGCCCTCGCCGCCCTCGCGGCACTGCCTTACCTGTACTTCATGCCAGTGGTGCGGGCGGTACTGTCGGCCAGGGAGAGCCCGTGCATCCGCAGGAACTCCTCCAGAGTCTTCGCCCGCGCCGCCGCCCGCACGTCCCGCAGCCGCCGCAGCTCCAGCCCGTCGGCCGCCCGGGGGGCTGGGGGCAGCCCCCACTCGGGGCTGGGCCGGCTGGCCACGCTGCGCAGGCTCTCACTGTAGGTCATGGAGAGCATCCTGCCACCTGAGCGTGGGCTCTGCCGGCCAGCCACGCCGCCAAACACTCTGCGGTGCTACGGAGAGAGCTGGGAAAGCACAACGTGGGCTCCCTCGCCACTCAGGGCACGGTCCTGCCTGCATTGCCATGCCGGAGTGGTGGCACCCACCCTTGCTGGGACTTGTGGGGACCCTAGCAAAGCCAGTCTCTTCAGCGGAGCAAAGCCTTGGCGTGAGAGCTGAAGCACAACAGGAGGAGCAGCAGGACAGGGATGTGGCACAGTCCGTGTCGGAGGCTGCTGTAGTGCCTGCCACAGCTGCCCCAAGCCACGATGCAGCAGTGTGGCCTGTGCCCAGCTGTGCTGGCTCCCAGCTTGCACTGTCTGGGCTGCACTGGTGTGCATCTCTGCGAGGGACACAGGAGCTGGCTGAGGCACGGCGAGCAGCAGCACAAGTACCGCTGGTGAGAATCTGGCACTGTGTGCCAATGGGCAAAGAAAATTGGGAGGGGAAAAGGGTCCCCGTGGGGCTCCCTGGAAAGGGTGGACATCGGCAGAGGGTCTGCGGGCACTGGGTGCTCACGGTGCCTGCGTCACGCTGCCGCAATGCGTGCCACCAGCCAACACCTTCCCCACCACCGCGGCAGCGACCTCCCAGCCGGTGCGGCTGCCGAAAATAGGCTGCTGCAGGGTGGGCTCCTCACACACCCGAGTCCTGGCCGTCTCCATGCCTGGGACCTCACTGGTGGTGGCACCCGCTCGATTTCTGTGCCTCTCTCTGCAATGTCTCTTGTTTCCAGTGTCTGCAGGGAGCAGGGACTGGGGCCAAAACTGGTGTTGGTGCCAGAGTGGCCACTGGGGATGCACTGTGACACATCTACACCAGCATCAGGCTCCAGCCAGGCTCCCACTGGTGGTTTTTTCTTTCCCAGGGAAACTCAAATTGACAGCTGCAGGAGCCAAAAGTGAAGGACTCTCTGCCACTGAGGTGTGACCTCCAGACGAAAGGAGAAGGAAGCCCAGAGGATATGGAGAAGCAGCTGGCCAGGTATGACCAAAACCCTGGGGGTCTCCTCTGCCATCTGGTGCTACCAGAGACCACTCCGTGCTCCTCCTGCTTTGTAGCAAGGCCTTGGGAAAGCCAGGAGACATGGAAAGAAAACCTTTCCCTCTGTTGTGGCAAAGTCAAACTGAATCCTGGTCATCAGCCTCTTCCTGCCACACCTCAAAGCTGGAGACTGGACCCGGCACCACCAGCACCAGCCCTTCTCTGTGGCTCGTGGCATTAATTAGGGCAATGCCAGTGGCTCCTGCTGGGTATTGGCACCTGGTGGGATCTCCTTGTTCCCAGTGGGATCTCCTTGCCCTGGTAGGATCCCCTCACCTGACAGCAGCAAGGAGAAACCTGAACTGGCTGCACCGCTGCTCTGCTGCAGCCAAACGGCTGCAGCAAGCAGAGCTGGGGGTTTGATCTGGGCTGCTCTGAGGAACGGGGTGGGAATCCACCAGCTGCCCTGTCTTGACACTTCCCTGATTTTTGGCAGAACAGAACTGGAGAGAGCGCGGAGGTGGTGGGTGATAGCAGAAATCCCAGTGCTCCTGGGATGAGTGGCAGCAGGGCTGCAGGATCTGCCAAGGATGAGCTATGCCATGCCCAAGCAGGAGAAGCTGTTTTGCGAGGAAGGAGCAGGGATGGGGAACAGAGCACAAGCTCTGCGGGATAACAGCACTGTTAGCAGCATCAGGGGCACAACAAGTGGGTGACAGGCAGGGCAGCTGCCCGGAGAGATACCTGACCAGCCTGGCTTGCCAAGCTGGAAAACTGGCAGCCACCAGCCTGCTTAAAGCCAGGAGGACCCCAAACTCCAAAAGAAAACCATCCTAAACCATCAAACCCCAAGTCACCCTGCACGGAACATCTTCCCTGCCGCCCACAGCGGCTGCCCCGTGCCGGTGCCCGTCCCCGCTCATCGCCCACCGTGCCCAGCCCCGCTCGCCGCCCCCGACTCACCGCGCCGGGGATGCTGCTCAGCAGCAGCGCAGCTCTGGGCGGCAGGGCTGCCCCAGGGCAGATATAAGAGCCTCGGTGGCCGCGTTGTTTTGCATTAGGGGAGTGTCGGAGCTTGGCGTCCAAAGCACTTGGCGGCTGCGCCTGGCCCCCAGCGTCCGGCTTCTCGCCGCGCTCCATTAGCCCTATTAGGGGATTTTCTTCCTTGCGAAGGGGAGTTAAATTATTCATGGCGCCTCACTAAAAGCCCGGGGATGGGCTGCTGCTGCTTTACCGACGCTGGCACCGCCTGCCCCTCGCCCTGCGGTGACAGGTCCCCCGTCACCAGCTCACAGGGCGGTGGGGACACTGCGGCCATCAGGGAGCCCTGAGGTGGACACAGCTCTCCGTGGTCCCCGCGGCAGTGTAGTCACAGCTGGGCGGTGGCAGGACTGAAAGGCAGCCTCCACCAGGAGAGAGCCCCGACACGGAACTGGGTGATGAACGCAGGTGGCTACTGCCTGAAGGCAGCCCACAGACAAGCTCCTGCCTGTTGCACCAGATGTGTCCAGTGGTTCCAGACCAGTTTGGCAGCCAGAACTTGCCCATAGCTGGGGCTCAGCAGTGCTGGTGGCAGCACTGGGACGGACACTGTCAGTGCCACTGAGGCATCCCACCTCACCTCCTCATTGCCAGCCCACCTTACCTCCTCCCGTCATGTGTGGGATGAAGTAGGGGGGGCCACAGCTCCGTCGAGAGGCAGACCCCAGTCCCCCACCCCATGGCAGCCAGGCCAGAGCCAGTCCCACTCCACTGGGCTGCTGTGGCCCTGGAGCAGCTGCTGGCAGAGTGTGTGGGGAAGTGCTGCCTTCACTTCAGACAGTAAAAGGGTGATGGGGGCGATTGTTGCCTCCTGAACCACTTAAAAAACCACTCCTAATAGCAGAAGCCACGGAGCAGCTGGCTGGTTTCCCAGAGCTGCACTTGGGAAAAGCTGAGGGTTTCTCCAGGCACAGCATTGGCATGGGACTCTCCCCACAAACTGAGCTGAGCCCCACACCCCACAGTGGCTGTCCCCCACAGCCATGTGGCCACACTCTGCTGCTTGGACAGCCCGTGAGAACGGTCCCCCCCCGGCCAGCCACACCCCAGGGTCCCCACACCGAATTCCAAACCCACAAGTGGGTGACGAGGCGATGCCACGCGTGATGCCCACCCCACACAGAGGGACCCTGGCGCACTGGGCAGGGCAGTGCCGTGCTGGCACTATCTGGGCATGGGCAGGAGCCATGGCCGCTTGCTGGGGGGATTTTGGGGAGGGGGAAGGGCCTGGTTACCTGTAGAACTGGAGCTGGCGCTTGGGGCTCCCGTATCTCGCGCTTCCGACAGCAAAGGGGAGAGAGAAGAAAGATGCCACAAACCCCGTTAGAAAGGAGCAGCGGGAGTGAGTGGCAGAGTCAGCAGCTGTGGGAAGGGTCAGCGGCACCCATCCATGTCACAGCACAGTGGACACTGCAGCAGGCACTGGCACGACCCTGAAAGTGCCCCCTATGCCCATAACAGGCACCAGTGACCCAAAACGCTGCTGCTGCTGCTGCTGTGTGGGGGTTTTGTGCTGGAAGCCTTTGCACAAAGCGTGCTGGGGCAGTTTAGGAGTATCAGAGCAGTTTCAGGGAGCGTAGTGGTTCTGGGTTGCCACAGGATTGGGTTTGAAGCCCCACAGAGTCCCCCCAGCACTGCCCTGCATCCTTACCTGTAAATCATCCCTGGGGAGCCCGTCTGCCGCAGCGAGAGTCGCGCTGGGGAGTCAGTGGTGGATTCGGGATACATGGAGCCAGCCTGGGCTCCCCGGAGCCACTCGCCGCCTCACCCCTGCCACAGGGGAAGAGGAAAAGAGGAAGAAATGAGTGTTTTGGGGCACGCGCATGACGGCACTTCCTGCTGCAGGAGATTTTGAGCCAGATGGGCACGTGGCATTGGCAGCAGTGTGGGCACGGTAGCTCTGCTGCCTCAGACCCTGGGGCTCACACCCTGACCCACTGATCCCAAAACCATCTCGCCCCAGCCCTGTTCCTCTGACTTCCCAGCCTAGCTGCTCTCTCCAAACTTCTGGTGGTCTTGAGACCTCAGGAAATGGTGAGGAAACATGGGCCTGAAAAACAAAGCATTCTGAAAACCCTGAAGCTGTCCCTGAGGGTCCCTCTGAAAGGGACAAAGTGATGGAAGGAAAACAGTCTCGCTTTTCCTGCAGCCCACATGTGACTGACTGGGTGCACAGGGGTGAGGGAGCTCAGAGGGAAAGTAGAGCTCATCCCCAGGCACCCCTGACCCTCCTTGTCCCCGTCCTCATGGCAGGGGCATCCAGCATGAGTCCCCGGGAGCTGTGCTCCTGCAACACTGTCAGCAGTTTCCAGTATCACAGAAAACAATGACACTTCCCTACAGAACTGGGGCTGAGATTTAAATTTATCCCTTCTTTCTTTAGGCCAGTGAGATGCCATCTTTACACTGCAGATCACAAGCTGCTCTGTTTCCCAGATAGGGACTGAGAGATCTCTGGGCTCCTGGCTGCCCTGGGCTCAGTGGGAGCATGGCCTTACACAGTGTGCTCATGTCCTGGCACGCATCCCGCCTGCATCCTGGCACAGCATGCCTGCATCCTGCATCCCTCCCGCATTCTGGCACAGCGTGCCTGCATCCTGCATCCCGGCACGGTGTGCCTGCATATCGCGTCCTGCCTGCATCCCAGCAAGGCAGGCTTGCATCCTGCGTCCACATCCTGCATCCCTCTTAGCGTTCCGGCATCCTGCATCCCTCCCGCATCCTGCATCCCTCCGGCATCCCGGCCCGGCGTGCCTGCATCCCGGCGCAGCCCCTGCAGCCCACGCAGCCCAATGGCAGCAGCTGCGGCAGCCGAGCCCATCCCCGCGGAGCCGCCCACCGCAGCTCCCGGCCGGGCTGCAGCCCCCGGCACAGATCCCCACCGCCCTCCTCCTGAGCGCTGCAGGAGTGGGTCTCCTTTGGCCACAGCCGCGCTGGAGCCGGAGCCCAAGGAGCCTCAGGAAAGCCGGTTTTGTTTTTGAGAAGTCAGGAGGGAGCCGCTCTCTCCTGAACCTGCAGCACTGAGCTGAAAACGGAACCTACAAACTACCCGGCCCTACAACCAGGACCTGGCTGGGCTTCCCAAGCCCTTGTGACCCCCGGGCTTCTCCTGCAGCCACCGGCCGGGCACTGTGCTGCCCGCTCATGCCAGCCCAATGCCACTTCCTCAGCAGTGGCAAAACAAAGCTGAGGGAAGCTGGGGGACACCTGCAGGGGGGACAGCTGGGCCCCCGTGTCCCAGCACAGCCATGCAGCTCCTTGCTTGCACTGCCACAATCCCGGACTGCTGCGTGGGACTCCTGGTCGATTCTGGATCCCAGGGGGCTGTGGTGCCAGGAGCGCAGAGCTCTGCAATTCTCAGCAGAACCTGATGCCCCTTCCCTGCTGCCTCTCAGCAATGCTGTGGGGACCAAGTGCAGTGGCTGGCAAGTTTCTGGCAGTGCTAGAGGGACTTTGCTGGCAAGCATAGCTGGACCATGGGCACACAGGTCAGGGCTCTGCACCCTGAGGAGCCAAAGTGTCGCAGCATTTGAGGCCAGTTCATCCCTCTGAGCTCGCTAAGCCAAAGGCACCACCAAAAGTCCAATACCCTCTGTGTCAGCAGCTTGGTGCTTCCCTGAGACTGCTCCTGCACCTCCAACTTCGTCATGGCACAACTCAGCTGTGAGTCTGCAACTGCAGGAGTTTCAGCAGTGGCCTGAGAGGGAAGAAAAGTGTTTTCTTCTGCAGGATGCACCCAGGAGTCAGGTGAAGGACACCCTCATGATCTGTGCTTCCACCAAGGTTCATTCCTATCCCTGGCAGCACAATGGGGTACAGG